GAATGCCCAAGTTGCCAGCCTCATACACCCTCCGCCTCCTACAAGGTGTCTGGACTTGGATGGGGCTGTGCAGAGGACGCATTGCCCACAAAGAAAGTGTGGAAGGAAACCTTCCAATCCTCTCCTAAACCTATAGGAATCCCCTCTGTGCTTAATCAATGCTTGACAAATGCAAGAATGAATTCATATAACCCACCCTCTGTGCAGCCCATGAAGATTCTTGACAGCCTTAAAGTCTCAGGATATATGCAGAAATTACTTTGTTAGCTGCAATTTTCTGTCTTGTTTCTCTCTCCCAAGGCGAAGCAAGGAGGCTGCTAAAGATTCATAGACATTGATTAAAGATGTGTGCAAAGATTTAGACATCAGGATATTTACCGATGCTCTCATAGCAGAAAATTGGAAGCAACCTAAATGCCCAAAAGTATTGTTTAAATACAGTATGGTACATCCATCCAATAGGATACTGTGCAGCTATTAAAAATCACGTTGTTGACGATTAGATGGAATGATGTTTACAACATTCAAATGCAGAATGCTGTACACACAGAGGGAATTTTTTCAAAAGATGTGTTAACAGTGATTGCAACTGGTAGACTTATGAATGGATTTTTTATTTTCTTCTTTTTTACTTATATGTATTTTCCGATTTTTCCATAGTGATGTCCATTGCTCTTGAAACAAAAGGGAGGGAATAATAAAAGCTAATTTTTACTAGCAAGAAAGAAATAGGCCTAGCACTTTGGGAGGGCAAGGCGGGAGGATTGCTTGAGGCCAGGAGTTCAAGACCAGCCTAAGCAAAACCAAGACCCTGTCTCTACAAAAAATAGAAAAATTAGTTGGGTGTGTTGGCGCATGCCTGTAGTGCCAGCTACTAGGGAGGCTGAGGCAAGTGAATCAGTTGAGCCCAGGAATTCGAGATTGCAGTGAGCTGTGATGAGGCCACTGCTGCACTCTAGCCTAGGTGATAGAGCAAGACCCTGTCTCAAAAAAAAAAAAAAAAGAAATAGGAAAAGTCCTCTCTTTCAAGGCTGTCTTCCAGTACCTTATTCTGTCAGGTAGATATACAGCCAGGTTGGACCCTGTCATCCAGCTTGGCCGTGGAAGCCACCTTGACTCTGAGCAGAAGCTTCCTTGGAACCAGTGTCTACCTTGAGACAAGTTATTAAAAAAAACGAGGCTATCCTGGCCAACTTCTCACCCCTAAGGACCAAGAGCCACTTCAGCCCAAAGAAAACAGCAGTTCCAGAGCCTGTGGGTTCTCGAAGCAGAACAGCAGCTTTAGCATGTGAAAGGTATCTTCCCCCCCACCCCCCAACTGCTGAAGGTTTGCAGACAGCTTCCTTTCCATCCCACAAGAGGAGACAGGCAGATGAGTCATAGCACTGGCTCAGATTAAAGGAGTATTATTGTCTTAGCAGAAATGGATCTATTTTATTATCTGTTTCTTGACACCTTACAAATAGATATGTTTTTCCCACCAGACTAACAATTCCCTTAGAAAGTCAACAATGTCGTTTGCTGAAGTTAAAAAATGACCAATAAGAATTAGAAACTCGTGTGTCTGAAGAGCTGCCAGGCTGAAAAGATGTAGTGGAAATACTGAGGAAGGTGGTTTATAACCCTCAGACTCTAGATTCAAGTCTGCAGAGTGATGCCATTCTTCTAAAAATATACAGAGGAACTACAGGAACCCTCTCCCCTTTCTCTCTCTCTCTCTTTTTTTTTAATTAAGAAATATCCCAGAATTGGTTGGCAGAGGGAGATTTGCCACCTCAGATTTCACTGTTTTTAACGGGGGTGATGGTCTTCGATACTATTTTAAGGACTTCCTTCTCTTACACAGATTTTTCCATACTGGGAGGACAGATAAGGTATGTTCCACTAAGGTTCCTCGTTCAAACCCACATGCGTGCCAGCAGTCATTTCCCTTTGTCTTGCTGTCCCATGACAACAGATTGCATATCATAGGAAATTGGAATGAAGACCTTATTTTGTTTGGATCTCTCTTCTCCATTGTTTGATTCCACACTCAGTTTTTCATTCTCTGTCTGCCTCCTTCTGTAGAAATATACTATGAGTGCATACAGGGACAGCTAGATGAATAGGTGTTGTTTTTCTAAAGACTCACCTCAGAGACTTTTCAAGGCACGTTGACCAGCTCTTCCTTCTCCTTGCCCCCAAGCATGTATCTCTGGACCAAAATGTACTAGGTGCCCAGGAAAGACCTGATGACTGATGGGCATACATGTGTTGTAAATGTGCATTCCTAGTACTTCGTTTAATGTTAATCAACTTTTGCAACATGAACTTCCCTGTTTCCTTTTTTGCTATTATACATAGATGTCTCCATGGCATTTCTGTCTCCCTCAGCCTGCAACTCAGGTCACCTGTCCATTCAAATATATAAACAAACAAAACCAAAAAAGCTTCCACAATGTGCAAGGAAAGGAGGTCTCAGGGAACAGAGAAAGTTTCACATTTCCTGTTGTTGAATCTAGGCATGGCCTTTAGGGGAAGCTGAATGCCTTTTCAATCCAAAATGCTCTGTTCTGTGAAGCTATCATCGTTGTTTTACCCTAAGACTGCAAAGCCAATATGGCTAACTTTTTACATGATCTCAGCTGTTTGTTTTTTGTTTTGTTTTTCTTTTCTTTTTCATTTTTAATTATTATGGGTACATAATAGTTGTATATCTTTATAGGGTACATGTCATCTTTTGATACAGACATACAGTGTGAATTAATCAAATCAGGGTGATTGGGGTATCATCACCTCAAGCATTTAACATTCCTTTGTGTTAGGAACACTCCAATTCCACTCTTTTAGTTATTTTAAAGTATATCTCAACTTGTTGATTATAGCCCCCTTGTCGTGCTATCTAATATTGTTCATTCTATCTCTATCTAACTGTATTTTTGCACCCATTAACCATCCCCACTTTATCCCCCACTCCCCACTACCTTTCCCAGTTTCTGGTAACTGTCATTCCACTCTGTCTTCATGAGCTCGATTGTTTGCTATTTGTTTTTTGAGTATCAACTTGTATCCAAATTTTGCCATTACTTTTTTCTTTTTATTTAAAAAATGAGATTTTAAAATATTTTGTTTTGCTAAACAGGATCCATTAGATCTAAGAATTAATGTCCTTTCCATTTATCAAACATTAACTGTGTGCCAGGCATTGGCTAATTGCTTCCACACTCATTTATTTCATCCCTTTACAACCACCCTATGAAGGAGATGCCAACACATGAGGAAACTGAAGCTTAAGCCATTTGCCCGAGATCAGTGTGATCATTTCATTCGAATCCATCCAACTTTGATCACGGCAGTCCATGAGTTTGGTCATCCAGAAAACATTTTCTGAGAACACAAAGTAGTGCTGTATTTGCACTCTGTGATGTTCACAACTTCACTAAAGGAGGCAGCCCCAGAGAGACCAGAAGCCAGAACCCACTTATGATACTATAGCACAGGAGTTAGGAGACAGTCTAGACATCACACAGCCCTGATTTCAAGTCCCGGCTCACTCACTTACCAGCTCTGAGACCACAGGGAAGTTTTCTACTCTCTTTGGACTCAGTTTCCATATCTGTAAAATAGGGATGATAATAGGTTGGATTCTATGAAATTGCCAACTTTCAACCATTTTTGGGCTCCAAAAAGTATTTTCAAATGGTTCAGCCTAATTCTTCACTGGGTCGTTGTACAGATTAAACGAGAGCACATAGGAAACATTCAGTAAACGATGCTTTTTAGTAGACTTTCTCATCCTGGTTTCCTTCCCCTCAGGTCAATAGTTTGCATTCTCTGGACAGACTTTATATACAGAGAAACCAGCTTGAGGTTATGTAAGTGTTGGAGCCTATAACTCAGGGAGACAGTAAAACAGCATGGATAATCAAGAATTAACAACAAAGGCCTTACTGCTCCGTGCATTTTCCCCCTAGTTTGGGCTCTTAATTAGTAAATAGGTGTTACGAATGCTTTTTCTTTTTTTAAGAAAGTGGGTTGGGGGAGTATTAAGGAAATTTAGCACTTTTGTGTTTAATCCCATCAACAAAGAAAAGGTTTCAAAATCAATTCTTGCCCCTCTAGTCGCTAACGCGAAGTAGCACGCACGGCTGCTTGATTGGCAGGGCGGGTCCAGCCTTCCAGACGAGCCAGGGCTGGGGACTCGCCGAGCCCTAGGAACAGTCCCACCGCGGCTTGCCCCACCTGCTCCGCTCACACCGGAGACCAGGAACAGCCAGAGTTAGCACCACCTGCCCTGTGGTGTTCACTTCCTCGCTGGGAGCAGGCCCTGCGCTTGGTCCCTCACGTGCATCTTACTTACTTCCCACAACAGTCCTACAGGAGGAAAATGTCATTCCCACCCCACTTCTCCCCATCCTCCAAAGAGGAAGAAGACACACATAGGTCTCGCCTGAGGTCTCTGAGCGTTAAAGTCAGACTCGAACCCGGGGAGCCCCAGAACTTGGAACACTCGGAACCTCTCCTTTCCCTACGCGGGTAGAGGCGCTTTTTCACCTACGAATCCAGCAAACTTGGCCACACCCTAGGGAAGGGGCTCGGTGTCGCGGACCAGCACAACCTCGCCGCGCTCCGCAAGTCCAAGGGCTCTAGGCGCCGGGCGCGGGTAGAGAGGAGTGGCGCCGCCCCCGGGGTATTTAACCCCAACCCGGAGCCCGCCGGGTGCCGGACGCTCCGGCTCCCCGGTGCTCGCGCCTCCCTCCTCCTCCCCGCTCTCTCCCGGCGCGCCCCACCCTCCGCCCCGCGCTCTCCTCGCGCGCAGGCACCGGCCGGCGGGCGCCGGGAGCGGGGCGCGGGCGGCGCTCGCCTCTGCGGAGCAGCCCCCTGGCCGTGGCCGCCGCGCACAGCCCGGCCCGCGCCGCCCCGGCTTCAACCGCCCCGCTGCCCGCACCGAGTGCGCCGCGGCAGCCTGAGCCGGGACGCCGGCCCGAGCGCCCCGCAGACGGGCGAGTGGCCGTGGACGCCCAGCAAGCAGCTCGCAGCATGGATTCGGATTCCGGGGAGCAGAGCGAGGGCGAGCCCGTGTCCGCCGCAGGTACCGAGGGGCCGCGGCCGCCCGGCCGGGAGGGCTGAGGCTGGGGAGGAGGGGAGGCTGGGGCAGCAAATCGCGAGTATGCCTTGGAGCTGCCGGGCGGGAGGCCGATCGCCGGCAGCCCGGTCCCTTCCAGGCCAGGACTGGGGATTGCTCCGCGCTGTGAGTTTGCTCTGGGGCTTACCCCACCTCGCTGCACTTGGGCGCGCGGGAGGGAGAGAGGGTGCATTTGGGGGTGGCTCTCTGCGCTGCCAGTCTCCTGCAGCGGGCTCGGGTCGCCCTGGCTAGGTGGGGGCGGGGAAGGGTTCGGGAATCCGCGTCCTGTAGTTTGCTGCAGCGAGGGTTGCAACACGTCTGCCTTTTGAAATAACTTTCGGAGCTCCGGCCCGGTGCTCGAACTCTGGGTGCCAAGGCCGCGCCGAGGAGCAGGTGACCGGGTCCGAGGACGTGACGGGGGACTCTGGGAAGAAAAGGCCCCGCGAGCGGATGTCCAGGGGTCAAACCATAGCTCACGGCTGCGGTTCCCGAGGCTGCTGGCGAGCCCGTGCAGAAGCGCTCGCCGGTCACTGCGCGCAGCCGGCGGAGGAGGTCCCCGCGGAGGGTCCCTGGACACAGACGCGGGGGCGCGGGACGCGGGCTTCGCCTTTAAGAGGCGCCGCCGGCTTTTCACAATCAATAGTTATCGAAGCAATAGGTGGATGCATACTTAGGGGAAAAAATGAATGTCCTCCCCCGCCTCTCCCTGATACTGAGCAACAGGAGGAAGCCACCCACAGCCGTGGGTCGACGTGCCTCCGGGCTCTGCCCACCTCCACCGGCGCCCCCCGCCCCCCGCCCACCGGGCCACGCACCTGGGACCGGCTCGCCCTCCACACGTGCCCACGGCTGGCGCAGCCCTGGAGCTTAGCCCTGGCCCGCAGGCCGGGACCCTCCTGGTGCAGACCACAGCCCTGGTCAGGCCCCTACTCTTCCCGATGTCAGACCACAGTGCCGGGGGTGGGGACCAAGTGATGGGAGGCACCAACAGTCCAGGCGTGGGTGTAGGAAAGGCAGGTTCGGGAACCAGGCAGGCGCCCTACATCTCTTATTCCCCTTCGTCCTCACAGCACCCAGCCAGGCGGTTACTACCTCCATCTCACAGAGGGAACGTTCCGAGAGGATCAAGGGCTTGCCCACATCCCACAGCCAGGGAGTAGGCAGGCCCCAGTGACTCCCTTCACCTCACATCAGACCCTCAGAGGGCTGCTGTGGTCTACACCTTTGGGTAGGTGGGTGGATCGGTGGGAAGGGACAAGCCTAGCGGAGAGGAAAGGCATCGCCGAGATGCCTGTATGTGAGGATTCCTGTGCGTGTGTGTGCAAGAACCACCTGCTCTGCGTAGGTATGTGTGGATGTAATTCATAAACATGAGCCCTTTGCATGCCTGTATGTTTCTGTGACTGTAAAGCACCAAGATTGCGCTTCACAGGTGCCTCGTGGATCTCCTGTCATCATTTAAAAGTTCCAGTAGGTGTTTTGTGTGTATCTATTTCCAGAGCTAAAGGGGGAGGGGAGACATTGACACTGACACTTTACTCTCTAAATCCCAGGGACTAACGTTCTTCATGCTACCCCTACCCCAACCCTCATTTTGCTGGTTGAGGAAGAGGGAGGAAGAGAAGGAGGCTTGGAGAATGGGGGCAGGAGGAGGAGAATCTCCAGAATCCTTGGTGAAAGGGGAGGGAGAGAGCCCACCCGTGTCTGATGTCCCTGTATACGTCCATACCAGTTTGTGTCGGAGGCCTCTGCGCAGCTAACAGCAAACATCATCACTAAGGTCAGATGAGTGGGAAAAAGAATAGGGCAGCCAGCTCTCATGCGCTGTCTCCATTTGTTTGCTTCTCACTGTTTTCTACAGTCATTTCTTCTTTCTGCATGTGCATGAATCTCACAAGTTGAACATTTATTTTAATGTCACAAGCCATTCTTCTAAATGGCATTCAGTCTCCCTCATTATTTTCAGTCTAAAAGTATTCTCCTATGTGACAAAGCTTCAAAACTGGATGCTAATTCTCCACCTTTCTATGGCTGCATCCTGTCAAATGGAAACCCTTTGTTGCAGCTTCAGATGCAGGTTGAATGACAAGTAAGCTACCCATAGGGATTGACCTTTGTACCTGCAAGAAACTGGGCATTCATCTGTGGACCTGTATCTGTGCAGGCTGAATGAGTGTGTAACTGAGAAAGATGACGGAGTAAGTAGGACCTCTTGGAGTACTTATATGTGAGTCCGTGTATACCTGCCTCTTAGGGAGATGAGATGAAAGAGCTGCTTCCTCCTCCACACCCTTCCCTTCCTGAACTTGTGAAAAAGCCCTGTTATAAGATGGAGCTTGTAAGGTTAACAGGCTGGACTTTGGAATCAGACAGACCTGGGTTTCAGTCTTCACCTGATGGACAAGTTACTTTTAACCTCTGCAACCTCAGTTTTCCTCTCATAACACATGAAAAGTGTTCCTGATAATCATTCAGTAAATGGTAGCCGTGACTTTGATTATCACCTGATTGGATTAATTGTTGTAAGAATATTGCTAAACAACGGACCCCAGTGCTTTGTAAAAGATAAATCACTAGACATGTGCAAGAGAATTAGTATTATTATTATTGCATTAATATCATTGCTTAAAGAGATTTGTTTTGAATTTTCTCCTTTTCAGTCTCATTCTCTCTAGTGTGTGCACATGTGTATGTGTGTATGATTGTTGGGAGGGGTATTTTTAATACATCTTTTCTCATCTTCATCCATCTTCCAGCTCAAGAGATGAAGATGGGGTCATTCCAACCTGCAGCTTTCACCACCCTTTCCTCCGGCTCTAGGGAGCATTGTAGAAAGCAGAGAACCCCTTGCCCAATCCACCTGCTAAGCTGGAGATGGAGGAGTTTCTTTTTTCATGCTGCTCTGCATGGAAGAAGCAGGAGCAGTCCCCTTCCTTTCACCCCCCACCCCACTGGTAAACCTGTCCCCTTCGAGGTGGTGGGAGGCCCAGGAAGTACTCACCCTCCTCCTTTCCACTTTTGTCCGTCATGGTCACCTTCCTGTCACTTGTTGGCAGAAAAGTGAAGAAATCTCCACTAACCACTCACTTTTTACTGTACCCTTTCAAGAGATTCTTCCAAAGGTCTCCCCACTGTGTGCATATGGTGCAGATCTTGCGCAGAGCAATGCCCTGCAGGTCGGTGAAGGTGGGGAAAATGAGTTTTGTCTTGTTCTGCGTTTTCTGTTTTCCAGGAAGCACAGAAAGATGCTTCTGTGTTATTCTGCTGCCTGCGGCTCTCCTCTGCCTTTCTGTCATTTTATGGATCTTTCTATGATTAGGAAAAATGCAGGGTTTATGGAACACTGGATCCATTCCAGAGACCCAGCTTGGCAGTCTTTCCTTTGGCAAACCCACCATACGTCTCTCAGAAATCTTAGAGCTTGGTGTATTCTCTCGGGAGTAGTTGAGAGTCTTTCCTAAGAAGCAACAAGGGAGTAAACATTAGCAATGTCAGCTTTTTCCTTTTCTGGCTTGGAAGACCAAGGCAGTCTACCCAGCTGAGGGCAGATGAGCGCCTTCCTCCCCCAGCTAGATGGTCCTGGGCAGTCAAGCTGAGGGGGCGTCCTTGTGCCTGGGTAGGTGTTACAGAAAAGCATTTCCGTGTGATGGAGTTGGAATGGTAGGGGAACCCCAGAGAAAACGTGGGAGAACAGCAGGCCTCTAACCCTGCTCTTCCTGTCCCTCTCCTCCCAGGTCCTCAGCTTGGCTCATGTGAACCAAGCAACGAGGAAAAGATAGGTGAGGTGAAAAGACATTCCAGCAGTCGGATATAGCTTGAATAAAGGCACAAATAAACAGGGAGGCAACTAGAGTAGAGGGCATATGCTGGGGAGTCCCGGGAAATAAAACTAGGTGAGTGCAGGGAGGCCAATGATAAGAGGATCTTAAACACTTGGTCCTGATGGTGCCTAGGGGGCCCCCTTGATTGTTGAGCAGAGATGCGACCAAATGAGAGCTGGGTTTGCAGAAGCTGCATTTGGTAGAGATGGAGAAATGCAGGGTTACCTGGGCCTGGCGCCTCTGCTCCCAGGGTGTGTGTGGCCACAGTATGGGAAAGGGTAGTGACACTAAGGCAAGGCAGAAGAGGAGGGAGGAAAATGACATTTCAGAGAAATCAACAGCAGAAGTTGGTGACAGATTGTACAAAAGTGGTGAAAGGAGAGGGAGAGTGGAAAGAGACCGTGGCAAGTTGAGTTGGGCAAAGATGCCCTGGAGGCAGGAGACGGGCTCCCCCACCCCACAAGTGCTCCCCCTTCCTTCAGGCGCTTAGCAGTGGTGTTTTGGTTAAAGGTTCTTTTCCCCTGTAAGTTGTGCAAGTGCCTTAGTCCAGAGGGATTGTGAGTTTTGGGGGTTTGCTGATTCTCATTGTTAGGCTCCTCGTGGAGGCCGCTCAGTAATCTTCGTCCACTGACAGATGGATGATGGATAGGCTGGCTAGCTGAGGGCAGAGACAGCCTGGGATGATGTGCCACTTGGCTATTAGTCATATTCCCATTTCTTGTTCCTGTTTGTTGAAATGTACACGAATCTCTGCTTCGTCCACATGGTGAGCAGTGGTTGCTTTGTGGGTCAGGTTAAGAATTGTGGGAAATGTAAAGAGAGATAAGGAAACAGCTCTGTCCTTCAGGACTTGAAATTGGGTGGGGAGACAGGACGTGTACACTGATGGCCACAGCCTAAGCCAGTGCATGAAGACTCCTGACCTCCCTTGCCTGGATTATACCCTTGGCTGTGTGTATGTTCTCCCTTGATACCAGCCACTTTTTTTTATTGTGTACTTTATGGTTATTCCTGTACTGGACTATTAGTTTGTTCTCTAACAGCAAGGACTGGTTTTTTTTTTCATCTGTATCACCCCACACCACCCAAGTACCCTAAACACATTGGCTGGCTGGATGGATAGATGGATGCATGAATGGTGGTGTA